CGGGGGGGGGGTTCTTGCCCAATCAGCCCTCCAGAGGGAGGGGCTTCTGCCCAGAGACAGGTGACGCGCAAGGAGCACGAGGAGCGAGCTCTCATTGGGTCTCCCATTTCTTCTGGGCAGAGTCAGAACCTCTCCCTGTGAGTAACTGGGTTGCCGGGTGTGGCCGCCTCCTCATACGTCACAGAGGGGACGCCACTTCACACTCTCTTTCTCAACACACGCTGCCACCAACCACACACATATACTGTATCTGACTCCTCAGACAAAGGTATGGATTTTTAAAAGGAAAATGATTGTTTATTGTAACAAGTAAATAAGTTAATCACTATAATCAATACATAAATAAAGTATCCCCTCAACCACACTAACACTCAGACCTTCACTAACACAGTACTTCATGCCCTAACTCAACTCTCACTCTAACTCTAACTCTCCAAAACTGACTCACATCATTCACTCCCCCCCTTATATACACAGCTCCACCTCCTGGAGTCCCACCTCCTGCCCTGCCATAGGCAGATGAGCTCCAGCATAACATTGATAGGCAGGTGACGTCATCGCAGCCATCACACCGGGCAACCCCTCATAGACGCCATAATAGACGCCCTGGAGGGCTTCCGCCCACCAACGGGTGACACGCAGGAGGAGCAAGTTCTCATTGGGTCTCCATTGTTCTTCCCTGGGTGGAGCTAGAGGAGGAGGAGGAGGCAACCCCTCAGGTATTAGGAGGAGCGCCCCCAGACTAAAGGGAGCGAAGGGCTGGATGGAGAAGGGAGAGTGGGGGGGAAGGAGATGGCAAGCAGAGCCTTCCTCCCCCCCTTATACCCTGCATGGACTCCAAGGCAAGGAGAGGGGTGGGCTCCCTCCTGAGAAAAAGTGGGGCTGAGGACCAAGGGGGCCCCTTGAAATGCTGAAGGGGGGAGACACCCCCAGCGTACCCTCCCCTTCTGGGGAAATTGGCCTGAAACCAGAAGGAAACCGAGGCCCTCAACTTCGGGGCTCCACAGGGCTCCTGGTCAGTTACTCCCAGGGGGACTTCACAGGATGCTGCATTAGCACACTCCCACCTCCACCCCCATGGCAATGAAAATCTCCCCCTTGAAGAAACTTCCCTCTTTCTCCAGACTCAACCGGGACTACCCGTTGGGCTCACGCCATGCAACCCAACTGGAAGAGACTGGAGCGGGTGATGGTGGCTGCCCACAGTCAATTGGGAGGTGACCTTGCACCCCAGATTTCTGTTCTGTCCCCCCTCCTTCCTACTGAGAGACCCCCACCTTCTCACTCTTGATCTTCCTTTTGGTTTCTTTTGGGGGGTGGGGGAGCTTCCTTCTTCTGTTCTGATCCAGCTTCTCTCCCACCCACCCTTTTCGTCCCTTTTCTGCAGGATGGGGCCGTGGTGGCTGACAAGGAGCACTGGGTTCTTTCATCTGTGCGGAGGGGCCGAGAAAATTGGGTGTCCTAACCAGGTAAGCACACCAATCAAGACAGAGAGCTCGATATTTCTTCCCTCTTCCTGGCTGCATGGTCCCTCCCTTGTTTCCCCAGTAGTAGGTACTCCGAGGTGTACAACCGCCCAAAGCCATCATGTTAAGTCCCACCCGTTTTCATCTCCCACTCCCTTCTTTACCTAGACTCCGGACTCTTTACTTATTTTCGTCCTTTTTTGGTCTGTTTTCCTCTTTTCCCAACCCCCCCCCCGGTCCTCTTTATTATTGTTTCCTCCTCTTCTGCTTGGTGCAGTTACTTACAATAGAATCCTCTTATCCGTTTCCTCTTACCTAGTTTCTCGAGACTTCCTCAAAAATCCCTCACATCAGCAGGATCATTAACTAAGGGTTATATACTCATTATTTGCAATAGCAGCATTATTCAATCATCTTGCAAAAACAGCATCTACCTGCTATCTATCTCAAGGGGAAGTTCCTGAAATTGATGATTATATACAATTCCAAAACTTGTTAATTCTGTACAAGTTCATTTATTTGCATCATTTCTAGATTCCATACTGAAATATACTAAATCCAAAAAATATGTAAGGCACTCTTACAGGCATGAGGAAAAAACAGTAGGTAGAGATCTTTAAATACAAACATCATACAGTTATGCAAAAACTGCAGGCTTACTTACATCCTTGCACCATGTAAAAAGATGCAGCAACTTAAATTTACATAATAAAACACTGAATTTAAAATGCAAACAATATTAAAACACTGGTGCTCATAATCTCGAAAGACAGAATACATCTTCAAAACACTTCAAACATCCTAAGAATAAAATGATAAAAATAAAAAAACCCTAATCATTTTCCATGAAAGACAAGCAAAAGTATTTAAACTTTAAAAATAAATATATACAAAGTAAAAAAAGCACTATTTGGCTGTAAGTGTGTTGTTAAGAAACAGAAAATTTTGTTCTCACCCAGCTGCTTGTAAAATCCATTGGTGGCTGTCACTGCCACACTGTTATCTTTCCGCTCTTCCAAGGAATTTCACCCGGCATCATGAAACCAAACATCTATGTTTCTCCATTCCTTTCTAATAACACTTTGTGTGAGATCTCTCCCAATATTTTTATCCCTTTGTTATGCATCAATCAGCAAAACCAAATTTTCTGAAGGCTTAGATTTCCCAGCCTCCGAGAAGGTCAGATGTTAAGGAGCAAAGGATTTGGTCACCTCTGACCCAGTGCAGTCCAGCGCCTGAAGAGATCTGAGCTTGAAAAACCAACCTTTCCACTCCTTCCAACATTCCCTGCCATGAAAAAGCAGTATACTCTAAATATAACAGCATAGAAGCTCCCAGTTCTTCATAAACAATACTATATATATATAGTTTATAAAAAATAACTAATACAAATTCATTGGCACCCTCTTTAAAATTCAATTACTGTTATTATTTAGGAGGATAAAGACATATAAAACAAATGACATCTCCTCTCTCTTCACTACTTGCTTTTCTTTCATCAGTTAGTCTTAGAACATCAATCCTTTTCTCTTTTTACACTAATTTTGTAAAAGCTTCCACTGTACAATATACGCTTGTTGTCATTTTTTTAGCAAAACATTCCACGTCTATTTTGTGGTATCTCTCTGTTAATTAATGATAGAAGTAAAACAATTAACAGGTGGCACTTCAAAATGCACTCCATTTTGTCTCTTTTTCTCTCTGTTTTGCATTGAGTCAGCTTTTAGTTGCTTATTCTTTACACTGGAAACCACCAAAATACTGAATGAGCTTCTTTTTTTTAATTTTTTTTTTGACATAGGGGGTGACAAAAAGGAAAAGGGGACTTAAGAATTTATGGGGAAGAGGAGAGACCATAACATGCTAACAACCATTCGAAACTTAATGCCATATCATAGTTTTAAATTATTCTGTTTTCTCTTTTCTGCCTTTTAGATTAAGCTCTCATTTCATTATATGCTATTTACACGTTGCCTGTTAATTTAGTCCATTTGTTGAATAGGTCCCATCTTTCTGTTGCCTTTTGTAGGGGATAACCCTTCATGACTTCTGATAAAATGTCCATTTCTGCTATTTCCTGTATTTTTCCAATAAGATCTTCTTGCTTCGGTATCTGAATGAGCTTCTTATGCCTTGTTTCATTATCAGGAGCTCTGGATAACCCTTTCCACATTCCATGCATTTCTATGGTTTCTCCCCAGTGTGAGTCCTATGATGTAACCTAAGGTTACCACTCTGACTAAAGCTCTTTCCACATTCCATGCATTTATGTGGTCTCTCCCCAGTGTGGGTCCTTTGATGCAACCTAAGGGTGCTACTGTGACTAAAGCTCTTTCCACATTTCATGCAATTGTACGGTTTTTCCCCAGTGTGAGTTTTTTGATGTGACCTAAGGCTACCACTCATACTAAAACTCTTTCCACATTCCATGCATTTATGTGGTCTCTCCCCAGTGTGGGTCCTTTGATGCAACCTAAGGGTGCTACTGTGACTAAAGCTCTTTCCACATTTCATGCAATTGTACGGTTTTTCCCCAGTGTGAGTTTTTTGATGTGACCTAAGGCTACCACTCATACTAAAACTCTTTCCACATTCCATGCATTTATGTGGTCTCTCCCCAGTGTGGGTCCTTTGATGTAACCTAAGGTTACCACTCTGACTAAAGCTCTTTCCACATTCCATGCATTTTTGTGGTTTCTCCCCAGTGTGAGTTCTTCCATGTTTCTTAAGGTCACCACTGTGACTAAAGCTCTTTCCACATTTCATGCAATTGTACGGTTTTTCCCCAGTGTGAGTTTTTTGATGTGACCTAAGGCAACCACTCATACTAAAACTCTTTCCACATTCCATGCATTTATGTGGTTTCTCCCCAGTGTGAATTATTTGATGTAACTTAAGATGACCACTGTGACTAAAGGTTTTTCCACACTCTATACATTTATATGGTTTCTCCCCAGTGTGAGTTCTTTGATGTGACCTAAGGCTACCACTCATACTAAAACTCTTTCCACATTCCATGCATTTATGTGATTTCTCCCCAGTGTGAGTTCTTTGATGTGACCTAAGGCTACCACTCATACTAAAACTCTTTCCACATTCCATGCATTTATGTGATTTCTCCCCAGTGTGAGTTCTTTGATGTGATCTAAAGTGATCACGGCGACTAAAGCTCTTTCCACATTCCATGCATTTATGTGGTTTCTCCCCAGTGTGAATTTTTTCATGTGCCCTCAGGGTACTGCTATGACTAAAGCTCTGTCCACATTTCATGCATTTGTACGGTTTCTCCCCAGTATGAGTTCTTTGATGTGTTCTAAGGTGACCACGGCGAATAAAGCTCTTTCCACATTCCATGCATTTATGTGGCTTCTCCCCAGTGTGAATTTTTTCATGTGCCCTCAGGGTACTGCTATGACTAAAGCTCTTTCCACATTTCATGCATTTGTACGGTTTCTCCCCAGTATGAGTTCTTTGATGTGTTCTAAGGCCACCACTGTTACTAAAGCTCTTTCCACATTCCATGCATTTATGTGGTTTCTCCCCAGTGTGAGTTCTTTGATGTGACCTAAGGTTACTACTCTGACTGAAGCTCTTTCCACATTCCATACATGGATACATTTTCTCCCCTGCATGTGTTCTTTGATGTCTACTGAGGTGAAATGCATTTACGTGGTTTCTCCCCTGCGTAAGTTCTTTCATGTGAAGTCCATGCATGGCCATTTCTATTTTCAGTTTTCTGTTTTCTTGCTTATGAGTTCTGCCCAGGTTGCCCCAGATGTTGCTGGGCAATTCTTTTTCTCCTGTCCATCATCTGGTCGATTAGAAAAAGAAGAGATACAATAACTTCTAAAATCTGCAGGAATAAGGAACTATTATTCCCACTCCGCCTGAGTCATGGATGAGGAAGGAAAGGCAGCCAAAAAGGTGAGGAAAGAGAAACAGGGATGGGATGATGCCAGACCGGACGATGTTCCTTTGGGCTTGAAGTTGGAAGGGCTCTTCACTGGGATCTTTTGGAGGGAGGAGTCATGAAAGGAGGATCATTTCCTCACCCAAGTAAGTACATCAAATTCAAAGTACATTAACTTTTTTCCTTCTCAAATTCTCCCCAATGATTGTACTTAAGTTTGCAGAAAATTAGAAAGGAATTTCTCAAAGTTGATTAAAGAGGAAACAAATAATTGAATTAAAGCATTTTTAGCAAACATGAGTAACAAGGGGGGGAAAGACAGTGTTAGAAAGGAAGTCTAAAAGTGGATGAATGCATATATATTATTAGACTCGAGAACTGGTAAAGAGAAGTTAGTGGTCAATGCCGGGAACTGACAAAGTCTGCAGAGATTATTATTCAGAGGGAGAAGAGAAAGGACACGTCCACGAAAGGGATGGGATGTAGAATTAATGCAATGCTATTATGTGTAGAGGATCATCAGGAATTTCTGAAAACAGGATAGGAAGCAGAGATGGTCAGGGAAATAGGTACAGAGGTAATAGAATCTTAGAACTGCAGAGGTAGAAGGGAAGTGAATTCCCAATTTCTAGCTCCAGAGTTAGGTACTTAAAGCAATGTGTATGGAAAGGGGGAAGAGAAAAATTTGATAAACCACATCAGTGAGAATAAAAACAAAAATTTAAACATTGAAATTCAGAAGGTATTTGACCGAAGCTAAATTAAATATTACAAATTCTAAATGCTGCATATTACAGTTGTACCTCAGTTTACGAAATCGATGTGTCCTCCAGGACATTACGTCATGCGAAAAATACAGAAACTGGAACGCAGGTTGCCATAGCGATGGTGGTGGCGCTACAAACCTCCAGGCACAGGGAAATTTCCTTCACAAAGTGAAAAAACAGCCAGGAAAGACATTTAAAACTGAGGCATTATTTCAAACTGCTTTCCATTCATAACCCAGAAATTGTGTAAACCAATGTGTACATAAAACGAGATACTACTGTACCTCAAAGGTATTATTCTTAGAAGTACTACCTGTTAAACGTACAGGGCCAGATATTTATTTATTTATTTTTTTAATTTATACTCCACCCATCTACTCTGGCAGCTAACATTAAAGAAAGGAATTAAAAGAATATAATAAAATAAAAAACAACAGTAGTAATATAGGTCAAGATGGGGAAAATAATTCAAGTGATGACAGGAGGGAAAGCCTGCCTATAGAGCCAGGTCTTACGTTTGCACTTAAAAACACCCAGTGAGGGAGCCAGACAGATCTTTCTTTCCGGACCTCCCTCTTTGTTAGGCCCCTCAGTCATCCTTCCTGGCTAGAACAAGCGATTCGGTTAGATCTAGGTTGGAGGAGGAGTTCTGCTAGATATCAAAGTCCTGAACCGTTTAGGGCTTTATGTCATCATTAACATTTTGAAATCAAAGTAGAAATCAATGGGCAGCCAATGCAAAGCAGCCAGAGTGGGGGAAATATGCTGATATTTTCTCGTCCCACTGAGAAGTCTGGCCACCCCATTATGCACCATTTGAAGCTTCCGCATCAATCTCATAGCCCCAAGTAGAGCGCATTGCAGTAGTCTAATCTCGTGACTACAAGCGCATGGACCACCGTGGTGAGCGCCCCAACATCAAGATAAGGATGCAGCTGGGCAATCCGCCACAGATGGAAATAGACAGAGTGGATCACTGGGTTTCCATGGTGAGTGCCGGATCCAGATGGACCCCCCCAAGCTGCGAACCTCACTCTTTGTGGTAAGAGTCACTCCCCCTAAAGAGAGGGAGTTTCCCAAACCACCAATGGAGGGGCCAACCACCCTTAGGACCTCCGTCTTGTCTGGATTCAGCCTCAGCCCATTCTCCTGCATCCATTGCAGTACAGCCTCCAGGCAGCGCTGCAGGGATGGAATGGCATCCACTCTGGTTGGTGAAAAGGAGATGTTGAGCTGGGTGTCATCAAGATGGGTGGAGCTCAGGGGTCTCCACACGTGGATGAGACGGAGGTGTCAAGAGGAGGGGTTTAGATTGATTTGGCACTCGGGAAGTTTTTGGGACAAGCCGGGCTTGTACAAGAGGGAGGGGCTTCACTTGAATGAACACGGAACTGAACTGCTGTCGCGTAACATTAAAAAGGTGGCAGAGCAGCTTTTAAACTGAATCCCGGGGGAAAGTTGACAAGAGCCGAGAGGCGTTCATTTCTGGACAACTCATCCCTGTGGAATGAGGGTGGAGAAGATAGAGAACCACAAAGTGATGATAGTGTAGTAATTAGGACTGGGAGTGTGATGGGATGGAAGGAGAAGCAAACAAGCTGCCCTTCTTGGGGGACCCCATAGGCAGGTGCTTTTATGCAAATGCTCAAAGCGTCTGAGTAAAGGTGAGAGAACTGGAACATTTTATTCATTTTAACTTTTTTATTTACTTAACTTTTATTTGGAGGGTAGATATGTTTCATAGTGTGGCCATAACAGAAACCTGGTGGGATTCGGAGAACCAGTAGGATACCGCAATCCCAGGCGATAAACTCTAGAGGAGGGACAGGGAGGGCCGTGTGGGAGGCGTGGTGGCTATCTTGGTCAAAGAAGGGGTGGAATCCAGCAGAAATGGAGATGGACGGTGGGTCTGACTCCATCATAGAATCACTGTGGGTTAAACTGCCAGCCCCAAGGAGCAATGTGATAGTGGGTTGGGGGACTTGCTATCATCCTCCAGATCAAAACTTTGAGGGGGAAATGTTGGGAAAAATTTGAGGGGGGGAATGATATGCAGAGAGAAATCAGGGAGGTGTCCAAAAGGGACAGGATCATACTCATGGGGAACGTCAATTATCCTCACATCGACTGGGCTGTGGCGTGCTCGGGTCAAGAAAGAGAGACCGGGTTTCTTGACATGCTAAATGACTACGTCTTGGAGCAATTTTTCATGGAGCCCAACAGAGGACAGGTGACTCTGGATCTAATGTCGTGTGGTGCTCAGGACCTGGTTAGGGATGGGAATGTCACTGAGTCGCTAGGGAATAGTGACCATGTTGTCTCCAGACACAAAAACCCTTGATTTATGAAGGGTGGACTTCCATCAAACGAGGAAGCTAGTGAGAAGGAAGTTGAAAGGGAAGGTTAAAAAAAAGTTTCCAGAGTGCATAGAGTTTTTAAAACAACAGTAGTAGAGGTCCAGCGGAACAGTATAATGCAAAAAACTAAGTCCCAAAAGGTGGATGGATACGGAGCAGAGTTAGATAGGTTTTAAAGGGCAAGGAGGGGTGCTTCCCTAAATGGAAATCCTTCCCAAAGCCCCAAAGGGCGCAGGCGCGTCAGGGACCAACCGTCCTCTGGTGGGGGGGGAAAGAGCAGAGGGGACGGGTCCCTATTTCCCCCTCAGGAAGGGATACTGAGGCGAGCGGGAGGGGAGCCTCCTCTGAGGGGATTCGCCCGAAGTTTCCCTCCAGGAGCAAAAGGAGGCCTTCCAGAGGGATTGGCTTCTGCCCGGAGACAGGTGTGTAAGGGGCAGGAGGAGGAGCGAGCTCTCATTGGGTCTCCCTTGTCTTCTGGGCGGAGCCAGAACCTCTCCCCTGCCGTCGCCGGGTTGCCAGGCAACCCCCTCATAGACGCCAAAAAAAACGGCAGGGGGAGGCCCTAGCCTAGAGGTATTCCGCCCAGCAACGGGTGACGCGAAAGAGGAGCGAGCTCTCATTGGGTCTCCATTGTTCTTCCCTGAGCAGAGCCAGGGGCTGCAGCCTCCAGAAGAACACCCAAAGAAGAAGAAGAGGAAGATGGGGCTTGTAGTGAGTCAGAAAATGAACACATAGTTAAAGAAGAAAGGCAGACGCCTAGGAGGTCACAAAGAGCCAATAAGGAAATCCCACCAAAGAGGTTTGGTGTGGGTATGACATAAGTATTGGTGAATAAAATACAAAAGGTATATTGGTAACTCAGGGTACATGCAAATGAAATACATGGTAACAAGTGATGACATGAGAGTCAAAGAGGAACATAACAGACCCTGCCATAATATCTCTACCAAGATGGGTTCCAAAATTTTTCAGACATTCTTTTTGACAAAGATAGAGCTGTTAGACCTTCTACACTCTTTGCTCTGTCTGATCATCCTCTTTGGCCACCAGTAACCATAGAAGAGACCAAAGATCTAATCACTCAGTTACAAGGCAGAAAAGCAGCTGGCCTCGATGCCATTCCACTGGACTTATTGAAATGCGAACCGGACTGGTGGGCTTCACTCTTTGCTTCCCTTTTCACAGCTATAGATAATACTGGGATCCTGCCAAAATTCTGGACCACTGCATTCCTTGCCCCATTTATTAAAAAGGGGACCTACACCTCCCAGAAAACTTCACAATACATTTTGCTGCATGAAATGCTGCCGGACTGCGTGTGTTTTAATACTGGACTGCCTGAGCCGCCTTACACTCTGCTAATTCCGTGATTTCCACAAGAAAAACCCGACAAAGAGTTTTGTCCTTTTACTTCACCATTAAAATTAGGGAATGAAATAGAAATTTTCCCAGCAAACATAAAGGGTTTTGTTGATTTGTTTAAGGATTTAAGGCAGCTTTCAATTCAGTAGACAGAGAGCTTCTCTGGGAAAAAACTTGAAAGCATGGACATAGATAAAAGACTCTTTTCCCTCGTAAGAATTTTATACTCTGGCACAACATGCCAACTTTATGTCTCTTGGAAAGTGGAGTTAACTGATCAATTTCCAACCAACAAGAATGGCAAATGTAGAGAATGTACTAAGTATGTGAAGGCGAGACCGGAAGAGAGCCAAGGTTGTGTGGAGGGGGTGTTAGTTGAAATAGAGCTGAGTGACGTGGCATGGAAAAGGTCCGTGGAGGTATCTAGCCCCCTTTCTAGCCAGTGTGGAGGGGCATCCACCAAAACTGGGGATGCATCATGTCCCGATATTGCTTTATGTGGGGGAGGAGCAGGACCTAATTTTATGGGAGGAGGTTATAAAAGAGGGAACGAAGGCATGGGAATTCAGAATTGTGACCGGTGGGGAAGCACCAGAGAAGAAGGAAGGTGCAGTGCAAACTGAGCTGAGTGGTGATTTTGGAGAATGGCATGGACTTTTGAAGGACTTTCCTAATCTCCAGCTTGGAGGTGGGTTGCTGCCAGACCTGAAGGGTTACCGCGCAAAGGGAGAAGGGCTTGAACCCTTAGAATGGACCATGGTTGTGTACCCACGCAATCAGCATGGGGGACGGAGGGTGATCCGTCCCAGTCCCTCTCTTCCCCACCAACCACACAAGGCGGACTGGGCGAGACACCCCTGTTGTGGGACAGCTTGTGCCGTGAGGAGTACTCCACTGAGGCCAATAACGGACAGAGAGTGGTTTGGTCCAGCCCCTCTGTGAGGAGTGATTTGTTAACTACAGATGTTAAGGTTAAAAGTTATAGAATACTCACGGAGTTGAGTTTGATGGATCCTTTTGAAACTATTGAGTTGAGTTTATTGAATAATAAAAAGAAGAATGTTTAAACTTCAGAGATATCTCCGACTATTTTTCCCGCCCAAATACAGGGGCCGCCCGAGCAGGATCAAGAACCCAATCACAAAGTATGAACAATTTTTATCATCACATGAAGACACAGAAAAGGATGCTTTGAAGAAGGGAGTAGTAAAATTTATAACCTAATTTTGGATCAGGAGGAGAATGAGATTGAAATAGAAGGATCAAAATCAATTTGGGAACATAATTTAAAAAGAGAAATCAGAATAGATTATTGCAAAAAAAATCTTGAAGACGAGAGTTCTAAGATTAATGTCGGTAAGAATAAAGGAGATTTTTAAAAATATTAGTTTAAGGTGGGACATGACTCCAGTGAAATTGAACAGAAAAAA